CATATATATATACATATATACATATACATATATATATACATATATACATATATATATATTTATATACATGTATATTTTATTTCATCTCCTAGATTTGCATGTTATATCAACTGGGATCACTCTTAAATACTTTTTAAGTCTCAATGGGGAATTAAACAAAGGATCCGCTTTTCTCTTATCTATATGTTGTTGTGGCACCGTGTTTATATTACATGTTGGAAAATGTCATTGTTAGGGGAAGTTTGACCGTTTTAACTTTACAAACCAATATCATGTGTCGTATTTGTTATATGCGAATGATATCATTCTCACCTTTAGCGTATGTGTTATCATTGCCAAAAGCTTTAAATTATTTAAGACTCTTAAGAACCAATGGATAAATGCGACGTAAACAAACTCTTTTTCCCTTAGGCTACCTCTAAGGATAGGGTATATGAAATATATAATTTTTTTAACAACAAAGAGGGGAAGTTCCCATTTACGTACCATGGTGCTTTAGTTGCTCTACATAGAATAAACAATATAATAAATAGATAGGTTGGTTCTAACCAAGAAGACTGCTTTAATAAACTTGGTTTTGTTGGCTTCCCCGGTGTACCTCGAATTTGATGTGGGTGCTTAAGAAGGTTAGCAAATCCATTGAGAAATATGCCAGAACTTTTATGCGACAACTCGAAGAGTGTGCATTCTATTGGCTTAGATTCTATCATTAAATCCAAACAAGCTGGAGGTCTTGATATTAGGGATATAAGTTCTATCGCCTATGATGTGCTACTTAAAGAGAATTGATGCTTACTTGAATTGGTTTCAGGTGGTAAATGCTAAATACAGTAGTGTTACGGACTTAGCTAATTTTGCCTAAGTCGTGCGGCACCCTTGTGTGTCCGTCCGTAAATGTCAATCTCCCCGAACCCTCCCATGGTCCCTTAGGACCTACAAAAGGAAAACGGGTTAAAGAAAGCGCCTCATTCGGGATCCACAAGCAAACATTTCAGGAAACACTTCATAGACAATGCAAATTATAAACAAATTTTAAAAGCTTTGAACGGTTATACAACAAAGTGTCACGGACAAACTTCGAAACAAGATGTTTGATGTAATGCTTATATATGTCCGTATCTTTTGGTATGTTCATACTTTGCACAGCATGTAGAGGGACGACCGAAGGCTTAATAGTCCCATTTTAGTTAGGTTTGGTAGCCGCTTTAGGCTTGTAAATAAAGGTTGTATCATGTGAAGACTTGTGAGAGATTTTTGGTCTGTAATGGACCATATTAACCCTTTATTGTGCAATTATTCAGAGTTTGTAAAGTCTGTTTGTAATTTACATTGTCTATGAAGTGTTTCCTGGAATGTTTGCTTGTGGATCCCGAGTGAGGCGTTCTCTTTAATCCGTTTTCTCTTTTGTGGGTCCTAAGGGACCATGGGAGGCTTCGGGGAGGTTGACCTTTGCGGACGGACACGCAAGGGTGTCGTACGACTTAGGAAAAACCAGCTAAGTCCATGACAAAAGGGTCAAAATGGTCCACTATAGAACGAGCCTAAGAAGGTCTTTATTTACAAGCCTAAGAAGGCCACCAAACTCAACCAAAATGGGGCTGTTAAGCTTTCGACTGTCCCTCTACATGTTGTGCAAAGCATGAACAAACCAAAAGACACAGACATATATAAGCATTACATCGAACATCCTGTTTAGAATTTTATCCATGACATTCTCCCCCACTTATTCCTTCGACGTCCTCGTCGAAGCCTTTGCCGACACTACAACTCCTCGCCTTTGTTAAGTCTTCAATCTTCTGCTCCGGTTGTAATGTGCCTCTTGGCTCCCAGCTACTCTCCCCTGCTATAATTGAGTAGTCGAACTTTTGATCCGCCATGTTGCTTCAACCCGCCAATGACTTTGACTCTAGTATGGGATTGGTTGAATTGTACTGATCCCTATTGGTTCCCATCAGATGAAGGAAAAGACTATCGTTACTTTACGCTAGTCTCTCAAATACCTCATGCTGCTTGAACTGGGTAGATGCTTGTTGGAGCTTTAATGAGCATCGCCTCGCAAACTTATGAAGTTTTGGGTCATTCCTCCACAAAATTTGCCCATCGACTCTTCTTTCACTTAGTTGTCACTTCCAAGTAGATTCGTATTACTTCCACTTTCGATTGACATTCTATTGGGAAATGAAGCGGATAATCTACTCTCAATAGCACTAATCATCATTGGTGAGGATTTGACAACTATTATCTTTCATTATCTTCGAAAGGTCTTTGAACCTATGTAGAGCTCCTCTACTGGATAGATAAGAGAATTGGGGTACTCGGTTTTGCCCATTCTCTTAAGAGTTGAGAAGGTAATGGTTACTTGACTTTGCTCACCTCCTCAAGGGTTGTACTCCATGCATCGAGTTGGTTACTGACCTTCGCCTGCTCTTTGCTCACACTTCTGAAGCACTCGAAGTGTTTGCACTCCTTACATTGAGTTAGCTACTATGATTCACCTTCTCAATGCCATCGAACTTTTGGAATGCAGGAAGTTTTCACCCTAACTTGGAGTGAGTCTCTAATTGTTTTGGTTGCCTCTGGGATTATATCGTCTTCTCCATCAACCCTACCGCCTACTCTACTAAGTAGCAAAGGTATAGCACCGAGTACTGCTTGCTTCATTCCTTGGTCATGCACTCTTGCACGACCCGAAGTCCTTCAGTTTCGGCTATCTTGATGAGAAGCTCATTGATATCGGTCTTACGAAGTTCCTTGGCCTCTGTCTTTTAGCTTTGTCTCGGTACTTGGAGTTTTCCTCTGCATGCTCCACCTCCTAGGTCTCTTTCACGACCAAGCGCTCTCCCTCCATGAGAGCAAGGGATCAATGACTTTCATAGAAGTCCCGCCTCTACGGTACCATGGCGTTGCCATGCCCATGGCCATACTATCCGTCGCCTCACCTCTGCATCCCTTTTCTTCATGATCAGTAGATATGTCTCCGTGGTACTCCTCCAAGTCCACCTCCATTCTAACTGATGCTTGATTTTGGGTAGCTAAGTCCCTCTAGACTCGGAGTCACTTCCTCAACCCTTTCGACCCCTTGCTTCAACACCTCTGTGTTCTCCAAGTAGCTCCCTTTGGTTCATGGAAAGATAGACTACAACTCCCATGCATGGCCTCTGCTATCATGTTGTAGGGTTTGCACCGATTCTGTTCTCCTTAGCTTCCTTGGTAGTAACGTTCACTTACTCGATCTTGTCCTCTGACATGCCGGGCTCCCTTAAGTGAATATGGGCTCAAGAGCAGTCCAACTCTCTAGTTATTTTGGTCATACCTTTGCATGATCATGTCCCTCCCATGGGACTCACTGGTACTTGCATTCAAACTTTTTCCTTGGTGGAACACAGCCCCCATATACTGATAACCAAGGCTTTCATCCAATGTAAAACTCAATGCACGCACGGAAGACCTACCTATGTGGTACCATGGCCTTCACTCCTTGAATCCCTAGCCCTTCGTCCCATCATGTTATTCACCGAAGTGGTGCTCCCAATAGCTCCCGATCATACCTTCATATGATATAGTCTCTCACGGGACTATGTCATGTGTATCGTATTGCCACGAACTATTCCACCACGATCCGCTGCACTATGTCGCCTCCTAGTAACATCTCCATTGCATTCTGATCCTTATGGGATGAACTCAAATTGTGATCCCTCTATGTGTGGCCTCGGCCAATACATCGCAAGGTCTCTTCCACCTTCGATTTTGTTTGCTCCTTTGGCAATCGACCTTTATCCACCCACTCTTGGGTCACACCTAGATAAAGCACCGCTCTAGGACAATCCGTCGCCTAGTAGCTCCCAAAATCCACAGACTTCGCTGAAAATGATGCACCGTTGTTTGGATCCTAGGCCTCTGCCCCTACCAGCACAACTCACCAAAACTTCTTACTCACCAAAACTCCTTATGAGTTATAGAACAACAAAAAACCTAATGTTTTATACTTTAAAGTTTTTGGGTGTAAGTGTTTTAT